CGTAGCTGCCCCCCAGTGTACAGACAGACCCGCTGTCTGCGTAGGTGCCCCCAGTATGGAGGCAGATCCCTCCCTTCGAATAGGTGGTACCCCTGCTATAGAGACGGCACCTTGCTGTATAGGTGCCACCCCCCAGTATGGGGACTGGCACCCTGTATAGGTACCCCCAGTATAAAGACAAACACCCCCCATATAGGTAACCCCAGTATGGAGGCACGCACACACCCTGTTTAGTTGGTGCCCCTCCCTATAGAAACAGACTTGTGCCTTTTCTATAGGTACCGCCAGGCAGAGAGACAGACCTCTTAGAAGGACTGCTGTAACTGCTCAGGCTCCACTTACGGATTATAATCAGCGCAGGGGCTGTGCTGCTGTGGCTGGCCCACGGGAGGAGATTACATGCTGTGGGCTGTGATTTGTGCCGCGGTTTCCTACTAATAGTCCCATGTAGATTTTAGGCTTCTCAACCCCGCCGGGGAGGCTCTCCATGATGGCTTTCATCCTCAATGCACTCACCTGGTAAGTCGGCAAGTAGTTGGAGTACCTGTGTCTTGTTCTTTCTTAACATCAAACTTTAAGAGAATTCAGCCTGACGTACCTGCCCTGTGCCTGGTTGAGCATGTCTGCTGAGGGCAGCAGGGAACTGCTGACTCCTGACTTTCTAGAGCCTGCATAAGTCATTTCACTTCACTGCCTCAGTTTTCCACCCAGGAATGAGATTTGCTTCTGTGAGAGATTTTACTGCAGTTAGAATTAATGCATCCCAGCAAACACTAATCTATAAACAAGAATGTATCTTCCCCCTGCCATCGGGCAAAGATTACTGAGGGAGATTGTGCAGAAAGCCAGGCAGGATTTTTCAAACTAAAAACTCATTTCCCTGCTGTCAGATGGTTAAAGAGCTGTAAGTGTTTTAAGTCTTGCTGCAGCAGCTGGGAGCAAGGTCAGAAACAACCTATCCTTAAAACATTTAAGAAGTTCTAAAGCAGCTAAATAATTAGCACAGACAACTCCTAATAGCTCTTGCTGCATCCTTTTCCGTAGACACAGCACAGTTTATGTATTAATCTCCATTTTTATTTTTCAGTGCTCTGGGCTTGCTGTATTTCATCCGCCGAGGAAAGCAGTGCCTGGATTTCACAGTCACAGTTCACTTCTTCCACCTTCTGGGCTGCTGGATTTATAACTCGCGCTTTCCCTCGACCCTGACATGGTGGCTGGTGCACATTGTGTGCACCGCACTGATGGCTGCGATTGGGGAGTACCTGTGCATGAGGATAGAACTCAGAGAAATCCCTCTCAATTCTGCCCCCAAATCTAACGTATAGACTTGCTCTGGCAACAACATGCTGCATTATGTCATTGTTTCCAGCACAAGTGCATCTAATGCCTGAGAATCATCACTGAAGAAGCACAGCAGGTCTGTTTAGACTTTTCTTTTTGGACCTTGGTGACTGCATGAGTGTGAGCATCTCCTCTGGCATCAGCTGACAACAGTAGAGGAGCAGATGTTTATTTTGTTAACACAAAGCATTAAATGTGACTGTATGGCGAGCGTGCTCTTAAACTCTTCACTCACGAGACTGTTAAAAGCCAGGTAGCAAAACACGATGCATGAGGAGCATCTGGAATTTAACAAATGTGGGGGTGCCCAGTATGGGTAATGCAACGGTCAGCTCTTTTTGTGGGAGCTGGCACAGAAAGCAGTGAGGCTGTGAACTTCTGCTCCCAATCAGTAACTTGTTTGGGCTTTGGTTGGGAAAAAAAGCCAAGGAAGTGAATGGATGGGGAGAAAGAAAATAGTTGTACTTACCTGAATCACCAGCTGAGACCCGAAATAACCTATAACTTTACACGGGTTTGTTTGCTGTTTCCATGTTTAATACATAGAGATGTCAGATGGCAGTTTGCTGAAGAGATCTTTTGTAATAATAAAAATATTATGTTGCTGTGAGCGTGTTATGGTTCTCCTGGGAAGCTGAGCATTTCAGGAAGTACCATGAGTGTCTGTATCATGGCAACAGAAGGTTTTGGCCAGAGAAGAACATGTGGCTGTAAGATGCCCACTGTCTAGGGCACATAAGATTTCCTACAATAAATATTTCGTACCTCTGTTCTGAAATGAAGGCATCCGTGAGTGCTGTCTTGGGGCGTCAGCCAGCACAGTCTTTGCTTCAGGAGGTGTCAACAGTCCAGGGTCTCCACATGTTTGGCCTGAGGCAGGAGCTGACCTGGGGAAGGCTGCAGAGGTGTCTTGGAGCCACGCTGCTGTTCCCACTTGCCTGGGTCTTCCTGTCAGGCTTCAGAAGTCGAGCAACAGATCTGCTCTGGTAGAGGCAATGTTTAGTTAAGTGAGAGACTGCTGCTTGTTTCTCAAAGTAACAGGATGTGCCTTTATTTAGAGGCACTTCAAATACACGTCACCTGTGGGCAGACAGGGACAACACCTTACTGCTAAGGGGCCAAAGCTGGATGGTTCCTCCAGATCCCACAGCCCAAGCAAGCAGACCCACATCTCACCTGGTTTCCACTAAGGGACAGCCAGTTTGCGCAATCCCAAACAAGGGCAAAGCCAGTTCTAAAGACAGATTTTCTCCTTTGCAGAATCTTGCTGCAGTAACTTTCCTTTTTATGTTAATATTTGTGAGTGTTAATTTGCATAAATTATTTGCTAATTCGGTTTGTTGAAAAGTGGTGGGATAATTTGAGATGCAGAAGTTGATAAACACTTTGAAGCAGCTCTTTTGACTTTTGGTACTGGGGGAGCTCTATTTCAATTCCTGCTCTCATATTCAGATAGTATAAATTGGGGCAGGATAACATCCAGATGTTTTAAATGCTTGGCAGGTCTGCCACAGGGGAGGATTGCTGGTTACGTTTGTTTAGACAGCACTTTTTATATTCTGAGTTTTTTGCCAGGATCTCTTCCTGACCAAAAACTCCTCTAAGCACAGTTTTAAACAGCAGCAGTCTTTCAGAGGGAAGAGTTTGCGCAAGTTTTTTTTCTGGGCAGGAGCCAACGTTTGCTGGAGGGCCACCCAGAGGTCACTTCCTAGGGCTTGCCCTGCAACTCTGCTGTGCAGTCACCAAGACAGTTCATCCCGTCCCAAAACCTGCTTGTTTCTCATATATAAGGATATTTGCCTTTCTTCCAGTCACCTTCAGCCTAGATATAAACTGGTCTTCCAGTAGGTGCCAGTATCTCCTTTGGAAAAGAGCAGTGAGTGTGCGTGTGATTGGGATCAGGGCTCACAGCAGAAGGCACGCTCTGCCTCCAGGCTGATGAACACTGGCTCTGTGTCAGTCGTATTATTAGACTCCTTCAGGGTCATTTTGTCCTCTCCTGCTTTTTGTTGCAGTTACTGAGAAAGAACATCCCAGTCCTGCACAGGGAAAGTTTGCAGGTTTAATTCAAGGCTTAACACCACACCAAAGCACACTGTGAACTCCTGCATTCTTCAGGGGTGGTCTTAAGGCAAATGTGAGTTGGAAGACTAATTAGAGTGAATATGAGAGAGCAGAGGGAAGGCCACGTTCATCCCATTTCTTAAAGGAGAATGGGGAGCTGATCCCAGAGTTGCTGAGACTGTATTAAAGAGCTGTTACCTTTGTTCCCCTGCACGAACAGAGATGAAAACTTCGGACTGTGGAACACTTACCTCCTTACTTTCTGAACACATGAGATACGCTGTAACTGCTTCGGCAGCCTCCCTTACACGGGCGGTGAAGTCTGGGTACAGTTTTGTATCTGGAAACACTCAGAGCAAGGCCATGAGAAGAATCCTTGACAAATGTGGATTTAACACCGAGTCTGTGGGAGATCCAACAAACTGCACTGCATCAGCATGAAGTGTGCTGTAGGATTAGAAATTCTTTCTGAAAGTCAGCTGTCTTTGCCTTTGAGGACTGAATCTGTATTGCTACTTTTTTCAAGGAAATCTACTTTAATTGTCCTAGTCATAGGGGGAGTTCTGCTAAAAATGAAATATTGATTGCGGAGGGAACCTCTGAAACTCATCACTCCCATACTGTGAGACCTAATTTTCACTCACATGCTTTCAGTCAGATTTAGAAGCACCTTTGGCTTTAAAAAAAAAAAATTATCTGCTGCACCATACCAGAATGGTGGCAGATGGTCTTTGTTTCTTAATGAATCTTTGTGTTTTGTGTGCAATGGAGTTGAGGGATTTGCTTCCAGGGAAGATATGTCCCAACACCTGCTCTTCTTAGAGACAGTGGTAGTGTCAGCTGACCGTTTGCATCCATGGTTTTGCAAAAAGAAGACTTCTTGAAGATCTCTGCTGAGACTTTAACATTCCCCTTCCCCAAAGCTGTCTAAAAGTAGGAAAAAGTAGAAAATTTTAACAGAGAGGAAGATTCCAAATCCAAAGAGAAGCTAAGGGTGGTGGGACTTTTGGGGATTGTGCTTATTTCTTTTCCTAAAGGCATTAAACACCTATTCTAAACAAAGAGCAGGTAGAGGATTTGGATCCAAAAGACTCCGGCCTTGGTTGTACATGATACCCACCTGCCTGAATTTTTCCCAGCTACAAACCACAGGCAGGAGAGGGGGAGGGGGGGGGGGGGGGGGGGGAGGACCAAACAGCACATGCCGCTGTTGCAGCAAAATAAGAAGAAAAACTGAAGCATCTGAGTGGTTCACTCCAGGTTCTGCAGTGCTCTGGTTTACCCTTTCTCTGGTACTTATCTTAAAGTTTCATGCCCGAGATGCCGAGTACATAACTAACAACTCCATTGTCTGTAGAAAGCCTAGGTGCCTCGCACTGAAGTGCTGTCTGAACACCAGCTGCTCGTCCTCGACTTATTTCTTGGAATTTGCCTCAATTTATTTGTTCCCTCCTGCTGCTGCAGGAGCAGAGTGTTAAGTGAGAGGGAAGGTAAGAGGAAGAACATGTGAATGCCAAAGGAGAGCAACATGACCCATCATTAAACAGCCCAACACCACTGTTCGTAAAAAGATCCTTTGCTGTAGGAGAAGCTTGTCCACGTGCCTGTAATGCATCCAGTGGGACCTCTGGGGCTAGCAGAGCCCCAGATCCCCTGCTCACACTGTAAAGAACATTTTCTGGTTTGGAGACACCATTTCAGAACCCCCTGATCCATTTACAGCTGGTGGTATCTACTGCTGTGCCCGCTCCCACAGCGGGTAGCACTCTGACCATCAGTGCCAGGTCCTGGCTCAACGTTTCACAGAACCACGAGGAGCCATGAGCTTCCCCAGCTCCGCACAGGGCTATCCTTCACTGTTAGCAGCTGCCTGCCCCTACTGAAGACAAAGCAAGTGCCCTTTGCCAGGTGCCAACAATCTGTGGAAACAGCCGAAGTGATGTGTGACAGATCTAGGAAAGTCAGGCTGAAATATCGCATTAGTTGAACACGGAAATTTCAGACCTGATGCAGGACCACCGAGTTCCATTATTAGAACACAGAGTTTACCACCGCATCCAGCTTTTGAGCCCCAGTTTAGAACATTATAAAGATTAGCTCCTTCTCCGTTCCAGAGTGGCAGCACCGCATGGGGAACGCGTTGGCAGCGGTAGAAAGTCCCATCAGGACTCACGTGCTTCCTCTCAGCGAGGAACTGCCCCGAGACCCTCATAGGAACAGGTTGTGGACACACGCTGGGTCCCCGTGGCTCCTATGGCCCTGTGCAGCCAGGCAGGGCACAGAGCTTCATTAGCATCCTTAAAACACAGAATTGCATCTTACTGCCCAGAAATACTGCTAAGTGTTTCTAACATACCCAGAAATCACTTGTAAGCACCTCGCTATTGCAAAGACCATCATGCTTGTACTGAAGCTGCAAAACAACACGCTGAGCCACAGCGGAGGCGAAAAGAGACTGTGCTGTCGAACAGGAGGCAGGACAAATAACTTCTACCATGCTGTGGTTGAGGAATATTAAGTTATTTGTCCCCAGTCGGTTCAACCTGGAAGATAAGGAAGCCACAGCCACCAGCACAAGAGAAGGAACATCCCGCCTAGAGACAGAGAAAGGATCCAATGATGGATGAGATCCCAGAACCAAATAGTACTGTTGGTCTGAACTGTCACGTGAGGGGTGGGAACTCAGACTGTAATGGTGTAATTGCCCAAATTTCTTCTCCACGGAGGCACTTAGCTTGAGCTGTTCATACTGCTGCAGCAGTCAAGGGAGGTGATCCTGCCGCTCTACTCCACTCTCGTGAGACCCCACCTGGAGTACTGCATCCAGCTCTGGAGTCCTCAACATAAGAAGGACATGGACCTGCTGGAGCGTATCCAGAGGAGAGCCACGAGGATGACCCGAGGGCTGGAGCACCTCTGCTATGAGGAGAGGCTGAGAGAGTTGGGGCTGTTCAGCCTGGAGAAGAGAAGGCGAAAAAGGGGAGATCTTATTGTGGCCTTCCAGTCCCTAAAGGGGCTCCAGGAGAGCTGGGGAGGGACTTTTTACTGGGGCATGTAGTGACAGGATGAGGGGGAATGGATATAAACTGGAAGAGGGCAGGTTTAGATTAAACATTAGGAGGAAGTTTTTCACTGGGTTGGAACTCGATGATCTTCAAGGTCTTTTCCAACCTAAACCATTCTATGATTCTGGTGCTGCCAACCCTGACGACCACTACAGCACAGCTGAGTGTAACCAGGGTGCAAGGTTTAGATGGACAAAACCTGACACCCACACAGAGGAAATTTTGGACGATAAATAGGTCACAACTGAGGTATGATGGGCAGTCACAGGGGAAATACGAAGGACAAAGTGTTACTTTTTGCTGTAATTTGAGTAAGACTACAGCTCTCACTAGGGAAGAGACAGGACGGCCCAGTAAAAGTAAAGTAAGTAAAAGAAGACCCCAGAGGTGGTTCAAGCCAGAAGATAAGGAAGCCACAACCATTGAGCTAAGAGAAGGAACGGCCCACGTGGAGACAGAGGAAGGATCCGGTGAGGAATGAGAAGACCCCAGACCCGAACATTACTGTCAGTCCAAACTGTCACGTGAGGGATGGGAACTCAGATTGTAAGGGTGTAATTGCCCAAATTTCTTTGTTCAGCATGCCTCCGTGGAGGCGCCCCACTCGAGCTGTTCACACTGTACCATTCAAGTAAATTACTTAATGGGATTTTACATCTGAGACTCTGCTGCGGGAAACCTAGGGTGAAGAAACTTAACACTGTAGGCTCTACAACAAACTTTAATACGCTGGAATTACACACTGCTGCCCACAGAGTGCTTACAGGTACTTTTTGAGACAGCTTTAAAGCAAAAGAGTTGTTATAAATCATTTTTGTCATGCTAGTTTGACACTTCCTCCTCCCCCAAATATTTCTTGCCCTCTACTTCCTTAGAAAAGGGATTTATTTACACATTACATGAGAGTTACTCAGGAATCCAGATG